AATGATGCACGAGGACTAAACTTCCAACACGTTTAAGAAAAATACAGCTAATGTGGGCTGACAGTGACTCAGCTAAAACGGAGCCTCAGGCTTAGGAAATAGGAGAAACACGTTCTGACCAAACCCTGCCACCAAACGGCCTTCCAGTGAGCTTGCACACACAAACAGACTCACCAAACTGATTCTACATCTAGCCCGCAGGCTTTATCCCATTTTTAATACGCTGCAAAGGTCAGACTTTCAAAAAGTCACTTGATAGAAAATTGGGACAATGTCTGAAAATGTGAAACACCCACTGTCCAACCTGCTCGCTGACGACTCCCATTATCTTGCTCGGTTAGCTGGCTGCAGTGAGGCAAAGTAACAGCTGACATTTAGTGGGATTACATATTCTGATTACATGGGCAACTATGAATAATAATAGAGGAAACTGAACTCATTTGAGAAAACTATTTAAGAGGGAAAGCATTTTGCTGGAGGAAAACAAAACACTGATTGGAATCAAAGCCAATCATGTATTTCAACAATTTTACAAATATTATTTCCTTGGCAGTAATTCTTTATTCTCTGAATGTAACATTTTGGGGCTTTAATGGGAAATTATCATCATTTAGTGTGATAGCAGGAACCAGCAGGAACCACATTTTCCCAGTGGCTCCATCTCCAACTAAAACAAAAGATCCTTAAACATTTTCTGAATGGATGCCGGACAGACTGGGAGCTGCGGGGGACTAAGCTGGTCCAGATTTGACTTTATAGACTTAGACCAGCTTGACCAGCACTCTGAGGGAATGAAGACCTGTATTGGGACCTTTAAGGCTATGCTGGCGCACTTTATTTAATCAATCCTACCAGAAGACATTGCAGATATGGTTATTATGAGATTTAGTTAAAATCCTTTTTCTTTTTAACTGTTTGCATCAAGTCATTGATTTTGCATCGGTTCCTCTTCTAGCTGAGCATGAAGTAACGGTATATGGTTAATTACACTGAGTCTTTCATTTCAGCGCTTTCTCCCAGCAAGAAACTTCACTTTACCTGCTGATGCTAATGAGGGTGAGCGACAGGGGAACCCACACATCTAATGAGCACAGCCGCCTGGTTCTGAGCAGCATAAAGTACAGCCTCGGCTTTCCGTCTCATCATCCTGTTCTCCTGTAATCAGTCCTCTGCTCCTGCACCTGCACTCATTGTTTTTTTCCAGAATTGGGTCATTTGCTGTTGTTTTCTCCATGCTCGTTTATTTTTTGATGAGCTGTTTGGTTGAATTAGTAACATTACAGGCCGAGCAACTGACCCAGATCCACAGCCTATAGTCATGATGATTTCCCCTCCTTATTCTACTATTATTTATTTAATCTGTAGACGTGAGAAGTTCTTTTTTTGAGCTATGAACGCCTGAATTCTCAAAGGGTCATAGAGAGGCTGCTGCCACATCCAGCACCCATCAGGTGTGTATCTCAGCAGTTAAATATATTTAACATATTATCATTTTAATACTCTCATTGTTAATGTGATGTTTTAGCTTCTTAAAAATTATAAGAAAAAGCTGAGTAGAATTGTGTAACTCCAATTTATGTCCTAGAATGACCTTGAATACTGTAAGGAAATAGCTTTTATTTCCCTGTGGTAGGTATTAAAAACATATCAGCGTTTTTTTATTTTATTTGGAAGATTGTGGTGTGTTTGTTCTAGAAATGTTGTAGACCCGTATTGTCTAACCTTCTAGCTGAAAAAATACATCTCTTTCCTATAAAATCAATCAGCCGCAGAGGGTTTCATGCAATAGAGCAGATGTTTACTTGTCCAAACCTCTGAAAAGAAGCATAACAAATACTGCAGAATGCGAGAACAGAGACAGAATGAAGCAGAATGTTGAAAGGGGGTCCCTATGTCCTCCAGCAGTCTAAGCCTATAGCAGCATAACTATAGAGATAGCTCAGGATAACCTGAGCCACTCTAACTATAACGTTATCAAAAGGAAGGTTTTAAGCCTAGCCTTAAAAGTAGACAGCATGTCTGCCTCAGACTAATACTGGTAGTTGGTTCCACAGGGGGCTGTGCCTCCCATTCTACTTTTAGAAATTCTAGGAACCACTACACTGTTAAAAGTCATACTCTCAATTAGTTATCATAACGTTTTTCTATAAATTACTTCCAATTAACATAATGAGTTTTGTAATTTCAACTTAATTTTCTGAGTTACTGGCATTTCAACTCGAGGATGTGAGTCAGTTCAGTGAAACATAAATTTAAATGTCTGAACATAACTTGACAATCTGAGTTTGAAAAAAGGTAACCGGATCTTATAAAAACTGATCACCGCTGGCAATATTAATGCGAGATCCAAATAGTGCCGGAAATTCGCTCTTTATCTGATAAGGGACTAAATATGATGTAAGATTTTGTCAGACTTTATAAAGTTATCCATCCCAGTTAGAACTGCATATTAAATGAAGAAGAGGAACACCACCTGACCACATTAAGGACGTCGAAAGCGAAGTCGTGGATGAATACCATTTTTCAAAGACCTCAGTACAAAAGGCGTTCAAATTCTGCGGGACATTTTTTGGAAATACGAAGCGAGCTGGAGTCATAGAAATAAGGTAAGATTCATTTGTCTTTTTTTTGATAATGCCACCCATTTTTAAAATATGTTAAGAGCTAAAGGTTTTCTGTTACATGTTTAAACACAGTACATAAAACAACAGCTTGCTAATTGTCGAGGGCAGGAGTTAGTTAATGCAGTTGAGCCTAGCTAAACGCAGTATGCTACTCGGTTGTGCTTATGAACTTTTCTTAAGAGAAAATGCAAGCAGCTACCACGATTTTGGTATTGTACACTTCCTCAGAAACACATATGTGGTGCTTGGTCAAAGTTTTGCATTGACGTGCTGACTGCAGGTGAGTTAGCGGCTTCGGGAAAGGCTGTGCGTCTGTATTTAGTCGTGTTTCTTGTCAGTAACCCGTGTCCTTTGTTTAATGTGTTGGCGGGCACCTGTGTCCCGTTTCTGGTTGCCGGTCTTGTGCGAAATTCTGTTTCCCCGTGAAAATCTGTTCCCGCTTTGTCGGGAGCGCGCATTGCGGCCAGAGGGGCGGATCTGCCCGTTCTCAAGGCGCTCCTGATTATTTTTCGGTAAAAACAGCTCATATAATCATCTCAACTTTGTATCATCCATTTTAATCGCTTGCTCTTTTTAAAAAATTGTAAAATAATTACATTAATGAGGTCCTCTTACGCTGTTTTGTGTTGTTTTTTAAACGCAAAGAGAATCGGTATTTCTCCAACTTTTGTCCCTTCAGCCTGACAGAAATAAACGTCAGTCACCGAACACAACAACCCGTAGTGTATTTTTAATTTTTCATTGCTGATATAAGAGGATGGAAACTGACTGATAGCAGGGCACACAGATTAAGACGTCCTGCGAAGATGAGAAGAATTTCTGGTTAATCACCTTCTAATGTAAAATATGACAGATTACTGGATTAAGGACATTTATAGTATACCACATCACACATATCAATTTTAGAGAAATTGGAAACAGTTGCTCTTTATTTCCCAAAGATATGGGAGGAGAAGAGGAGATAATGGATGTTTCAGCTTACTGAAATAATCTGTTCCCCCTCCATAACAGGGGAAGAAATTAATTTACCTGCAATTCTTTAACTGTGCTTATTCCTCTCACCACCAAGAACAAATCCTGTGGATTTGGTCATATTTACTGGTTATTTGCAAAAATTAAAGCGGGGGGAACCATATATTTCAGCTGCCTGAAATAATCTGTTCCCCCTCCATAACAGGGGAAGAAATTAATTTACCTGCAAGTCTTTAACTGTGCTTATTCCTCTCACCACCAAGAACAAATCCTGTGGATTTGGTCATATTTACTGGTTATATGCAAAAATTAAAGGGGGGGGGGAACAGATTATTTCAGCTGCCTGAAATAATCCGCAGGATTTGTTCTTGGTGGTGAGAGGAATAAGCACAGTTAAAGACTTGCAGGTAAATAAATTTTTTCCCCTGTTATGGAGGGGGAACAGATTATTTCAGGCAGCTGAAATATATGGTTCCCCCCCTTTAATTTTTGCAGATCTTTGAATTTCAAAGATTTGCCTTGCCCCACAATGCTGTTACTGATTATCTTAAATGTTAAAATACTTTTTTGTTTTGTTTTTTCATAGATTTATTTTAAGCTTATTGTTATATTGAGTAACAAGTTAAGTTAATTGATAAAGTAAAAATTTTTTTTTTACTGTCAAAGTGCAGCCCCCATTTAGTCAGTGATGATTCCTTTAAATTGTAAAACCTTGTGTTATCATTAATCCAATATTTTGTCTCGTCTCCTCATGAATGTAGTGTCTTGTCACTGTACCAGAGGCTCTTATTCTTAACGTGCAAATTTTTCTATTTTTCAGGTCTAAGTTGTCTACAATGCTGCTGCGTGTCATAGTTTCAGAAAGTGAAATCAGGCGTCTTTCAATTGAAGACATCCCCTCAAGTGTTGAGGAACTGTACCAGGTGTTACGAACCAACCTTGCCTTAAGAGGAGGATTCATTTTGCAGTTTGAGGATCCTGATTTCAATAATCAGTTGTGCAACCTAACGGACATCAAAGACCTTCCTGTTGACCGTGCAACTTTGAAAGTATTGTTCACAGCTGATGACTCCACGGATTCTACACTGGACACTGGAAGCCTCTCTTCTCCAAGTAGTGCAGATTTTGTTAAATGGCCTGACTCCTTCCCGATTCCAAAGTTTTCCCATGATGTTGAGCTGCAACTGAAAGAAGCTAATTGTAGATATGCTAAGGATGGATCTGTGATGGTGATTTCTAAAACTTTGAAGACTAATATCCTTGACACACTTGCAGACTGTATGTCAAAGATTACTGCTTATCCTGACAGGCAACACTATGAAAATGTGGCCAAAACACTGGTGGAAAGGCATCCCTGTCTGCGAGACCCAGGGTCAGAAAAGGGATGGTACTCATGTTTTCACAGTCTGAAATTCAAAATGGGAAACTACAGGCATAAATTAAGCTCAGCAGGATGCCCTGAGGTGGTCATAAACAAACGAAAATCTGGAAGTTCAAAAGGGGAAACTGTCAAAAAGTCAAAGAAGGGGGAGGTGAACTACTGTCCTGATCCACCTGAAGGACAGAGTCCTGAAAACATGGAGGTGAAGCGCAAGATAATGGAGGCTGAAATGCAGAAGAAAGACCCAAATCATCAGCTGATTGAGGATTTGATGGTTTCTACATTTTCTCAGCGTAGGAAAGACATTGTAGGAGATCAACCACACATCACAGAGCTCATGTCCCGATGGCCTGCTCTGTTCCATGAGAGACAGGTAATCGCACATCTGAATTAGTTTCACCAAGAGATTTAGTGATTTAATACTGAGTTAACTGTGTCCTGATGAGTTTTATATTCTATCACCTCAGATTAGGGCAGAATTTACAAGAATCGTCACCACAGACCTTCTGAAATCTTTTGTTGACGGACTTGATGGCCTGGTTCTGAGACTGCTGGAGGTCTACAAGGCAGCAACCAAATCTGGGAAGAAGCAGCCACTCAAAGACATTTTGGACTGCCTTGCAAAAGATGTAAGCAGAACTGAAGATGGCTAGAAAACTAGGCATAATTTGTTATTTTTGTTAAAATATATTCATCTTACTGCATGTCTTATCTCTTACAGGACACAAATGAAAGGAGAAGGGCTGCTGCTCTGCTTGGTTTGCCACGCTACATATCTGGGGAAGATCCATCAACTGTCATCAGGATGTGTGATGTAAGACTAACAAATGTTATTACAAAAACTGTTTACATATTTAATTATTCCTCTTTCTTGATATCATTTCTTAAAAGTCTTTTTGTAGCATTAGTGTTTGCAAAAACTTATTTTTAGTCCTTAAGAGACATTACTTCCTGTTTACTACAGCCATGCATAACATCAAATTCTGATGTAATTACTTTGTCTATCATGATTGATTTTGCTCAAAGCCACTTGATGGAAACATGCCTGATTTGCATTTTCCTTAATTTCTTTTGACATTTTAAGAATTTGATGATTAAAAAAAATACATTAGAATGGAAACATTTCTAGTGTCCTACATTTTTAGAATAATTTCAGCGCTTCACAATGGGGGTTTTTAATCTGCCATACACTGTGCTCATGTGCATGAAAATACAAGTTCTGTGGATGAAAAAAGTTTGTCAAAAAGGAGGACTACCTGATGACAAAGTAAAGTGCTGAAAATATGTTGAATATGTACACATAAACAGGCTTTTTTTCAGGTTGGACTTATTTTCAATGTCTAATTCTTCTGGATGTTTGCCTCATCCACAACAGTGGCCTGTTTCATTGCCATTATGCTCTATGCTTTGTCAAACTGGGAGTGTGTCAGGTTATTCTCTGACTGAACAGAAGTGCATCATACAACCCCACAAGTGTCAAAACATGCAGATTGTTAAACCTCACAATAGCATAAAAACTTGCAGTTTAAAAATAACTGAGTATTTACATTCTTTACTTACACACAAATGTCATTATTTCTTTTCTATTTTTAAGGCTCATGCTGATATTCTGGATGATGCCATGAAGGGGATGCAGGTCGGTCTTCTGATTGCCTGTGAAGGTAGTGAACAGGGGGCCATCCCACACGAGGTCTTCGACGTGGCAGTTGTGGTGGAGGAGACCATTGTGCTTCACAATATTAAAGATGTGACAGTTGGCTTTGCTATGCTTATGGGTGTCATCTACTGTATCAATCTCAAGTATCCAAATGACATGAAGTATTCGTTCGAGTTTCTTCAGAGAGTGGTGATGAAGATCAGTCCAGACCAGGCCTCAGCTCGAGTACATGGTTTGAGAAACAAACTCCTGAGGTACAAACTGTAACATCTGGTATGTTTACAGTTTTGTTTTCTTAAATAAGAGTTCCTGTAAGAATTTGTTCAGTTTGTTCTATGCACTAAATGTTAATACTAATGGTTATGCACTAAAACATTTAGCACTGTGCTGAATCTGTGGAAAAACCTCTCAGGATTTTTGTGAGTTTGTTAAAACACTGATCATTTTGCACTTTTTGGACTGTTTTTGAGAGATGGTAGCTAGTTGTATTGACTTTGGACTGCTACTGTTCAACGTGGTTAAAATGTTTTGTAAAATAATGGTCTATATGGAGGACTGAAACTCGCCAATAAAATGCACTTAAAATGCACCATACCTCACAAATTTTTTACAATAAAACTTTAGGTAGAGTTCATAATTGGTGCCTTTTAAGTGCATTTATTGAGATTTATATAAAAAAATATTTCTGTTTGTCAAAAAATGTATTTCTGCTTTGGTCCTTCAATAAATGTTAAAACTTCTGCTTGTCTCGAAAAAATTTTTTCTTTTTACCCTTGATTTAAGGCTTGTCTCATATTTGATAGAGAAAGAAAAATGTATAATCTGAAATGGAAGCGTATTGGTGTAATTATTTTTAGAAAACTGGTAAACTTGGCATTGTTAGTGGAGAAAGTGAGCAATATTTGGAAATGTTAGTTTACTTAAATTGCAATTTGAAGTTCAGTAGCTGCCTTAAACTCTTGAGTTAAATTAACTCAAAAAGGGAATTGGTATGAATACAGTTAGTCAGTTTAACTTTAAAATGAGAGTTGAAAGTATATATAATTGTTTGCTACTTCAACAAAATAAAACAAGTTTTTTTGAATGGATAACTTAACTTTGCAAGGCCTTTAAACTTGGAGTATGAAGTTCATACAACTAGTAGTCATTAGTTAGACAAGTGGTATAACTTAATTATTTGAGTTCAAATAGAATATGATTGTAATTTTACTTGACAAGAGTACTCAATTTATAAAGAATGAATAATGTTCTATAGTTAGTCATTTCAACTCATGGTATCATATTTAATCAATGAATTATCAGCAATTGAGCTACTTTTCTAGCTTGCCATCCTAAGTTGGAAAAAAAACATTATTTCAAGTTGTGTTAACTTGTGCTTTTAAGGCAGCTGCTTAACTCAAGTTTTTAAGTTTAACCACCCTAATTATTTTTACAGTGTAGTAAACCTGAGGATTGAGAGCGAAGTGCTCTGTTAGGAACATAAGGAACAATCAGATCTCTGATGTGAGATGGAGCTTGGCCATTTAAAGGAGCAGTAGGAGATTTTATGCGATGCGTTTTTTACCATGTGGCTTAAAGGGGAACACCATTTTTTTTACATTTGGCCCCTGATTTTACATTATTACATCATGTTCTACTCTCTGATTTGAGTTTTGTGTCATTTGGAGCCATTCTGGAGATATTCCATTAGGTTATATCCAAGTAACGTCTTCCTATGGGCGAACAACTTGAAGGCACAAACTGAACTGTTTATAATTATCATTTATGGTATGCCAGCATTCATAACATGTAGGCGAATCACTATCCCCCAGACATCCGCAGTTATATTTTATATATTTATCTTTTTAAAACAAAGCGGAGTGTGTATGACATCATCTGGGCACGCCAGCTACCATTCTTTCATCCTGTCCTCTGAACTGCTGCTAGTTTTACTCACATGCCTGGAAGATGCCTGCTTGTCACAACTTAAGTCCGTACCATAAAGAATAAATTATGAACAGTTTAGTTTGTGCCTTCAAGTTGTTCGCCCATAGGAGACTAGAAAGAAGTTACTTGGATATAACCTAACCGAATATCTTCAGAACAGCTCCAAATGATACAAAACTCATATGGGTGAGTAGAACATGATGTAATAACGTAAAATCAAGGGCCCAATGTAAAAAAAACGGCGTTCCCCTATAAAGATCTCCCCACAGCCGCTTGGCAAGCAGTGAAATAGAAGGTTTGGAAGTGAAACTGCAATAAATGTTCCGCGCTACAGTGAGAAATCAATGAATAAACCCAACCAATCATAAAAGTTGATCCGTACACGATTGTACATGATTGGTTCCTGACACGTCAATCATGGCCGCCTGCTTGTCCCTCCCCCGTGTGCGTGTACCTTGACACAAAAACGAATCAACCCCCCAATGCTCTTGCAGGACGCCATGGCTGGAAGCTAGCCACTAATATGCTACGTTCACACCTAAAGCAGCAAGAACAGCAAAAAACGTGCATGCTGCTTCATTTTTTATGCTTGTACAAGTTTAGTTCTGATGAGCGGCTAAAGCATCTTTACTGCTGTGGCTGCACGGTGAAAGAAGTGGGTCTGATGCGTGTTGGGCAGAGCTACCCTATCCTGTCTTTGCTGCTCCTGCTGCTTCAGATGCGCTGCAGACAGCGTGCGCGTTCATGTGTATTGAAGGCGGGGTTTCGAGGAGTGATCTGAAGGGAGAGGCATGGTTTTTTCCATGAACTCCTACAGCACCTTTAAGGCTTTATATGTGAGAGGGATGTGGATTTAACAGGAAGCTAATGGAGAGAGGCGGGGATAGGAGAGATATCTCTGCTTTCAATTTTCATCAAAGTATATAGATAGTAAAGAGAATTGGTTCTAGCACTGATCCCTGTGATACTCCACAGGTAAACCTGGAGCACGAACAATATTTATCATTCGATTGAACAAACTGAAATCTGTCAGACAAATAAGATTTAAACCAGTCTAGTGCTGTTCCTTTAATTCCAACAAAATATTCAAGTCCTTCTAAAAGAATATTATGATCAACTGGATCAGATGCAGCACTGAGATATATCAGAACAAGTACAGATAGAAGTCCGTTATCTGAGGCCATGAGAACATTATTAGTGACTTTCACCAGAGCTGTTTCAGTGCTATGATGAGCTCTAAAGCCAGAAACATGTGAACATTTGGCCTTACAGATCGATAGAAGAAGACCGGTGAGGCCTCAGGCTGTGGATCAGTATTAAATCCAAGGTTTCCTTCCTATAAACTGCAACAAAACCATCCTTTATACATTAAAAAGTGACTTTAACTCACACCAGTTTCTAAGTTTCTTTTTATTTGGCTGCTTTATTTAACTTTAAACCTTTTTTATAAATATCTTTTCCCCTCAAAGTGTTCAACCGTATACTGCAGATTTTATTGGAGTATAGAAATAAATGGTTTGGGACTTCATTTATCTAACTTCCTGTAAAAGACACCCAACCTGGGATCCAAGTTGGCCTGACGTGAGATCATTTTCCGTCTCACAGAGTTAGATAGGGTTGCCCAGATATCTCAAGTGTAGCGTAGAAATAAAAAGTCAAGATAAGATCTGGGAATAGAAGGGAAAATGATATCAACAGGTTCCACTGCAGTGATTTATGAGCCACATGTCGGATTGGAGCGCTGATTGTTCCGGTTGTGTTTTTGTTCTAAATTTAATCAACATGGGTTCTTTGCAGCTCTGATCTTAATTTGCTCAAAATGTATTTCAGATCCGCTTCCTTCTCACTAATGTGATTCGTGCTTCATGAGGTTTTCCCTGCAAACATGAAATCCTCCCTCCCAGTCAGATGTGATGCTCCAGCTCTGCAGTGAGCCAGTATAAGGGGCTATAGGATGCAGTCTGTTTATAATAATAAAAAAAAACTTTTAATATCACAGATATTACCTAAAAGATTTGACAATTTTTCCATATATTGGATGTTTTAGAGATTCTAATAATAATGACACATTGAAAATTGGTTCACGACCTTTTGTTCTGGAAGTTCTATTAGAGAGGTACTTTAAAAACTTTATTGTACAGAATTTTTTTTTTCTGAGCCAAGGTGAATGTACCTTGTTTAAAAAGGATATATGAGGTTAAAATGGTTTAACAAGGACCAAGGACAGACACTGAAATGTGCTCCAGTTAGTCTATGTGAGAACAGGAAGACATTCAGCTGTGTGAATGTTACCCGTAGATTGGCTCTTATTATCTGCATTGGCCTCATCTCTGAGTTCAAGGTAAAACAATGAGTCACATGTCAGCCAACTCTGAATATAGCAACATATCCCTGCTGAGTCCCACAGCGCTCACAGGCCAACAGGAGGCTACATTCAATGTGCTAAAGCTGGTTAACTACCTGATCTATAACAAACCTGGGTGGCACAGAGCTGCCATCACATCCTGCTGTCTGTTAGTTTCTTTCACTACCTTCTAATCTCTGCTGTCCTTCAGAATCTCACCAGAAAAGTCAGAAATATTTGATTCATAGCTGGTAATAGTGTAGCCTGACGTAGTCCTACTCAATTCTAGTCAGAATATGAGTCTGATACTGCTCCATAGAGCTGTGATTATGGGGCGTGTTTCGAACAAACCAGGAAAAAAAAGCCTCTGCACTCAATTGGATAGACCTACAACCATTAAGAGCAACGGAGTGCGTGACGTATGTTAAGCGACGCATAGTTGTTGTCAACAAAAATCAAAGCGTGCAGTTACACGCCTAGAATAAGAAGATGAGCCTTGATCGCGTTTCTCTGTTCCTCTTTTAAAATTTATTTGCTGTCGATATCTTCTAGAACAGACCTAATAGCAGAATCTACTCACCTCAACTCTCCGGCGGCAGCCATTGTTGTTGTCACCCAAGCGGGCTTAGGTGACGTGGTTGATTACGTTACTGTTGATCATCTGTCCATCATCGTATAGATATTGTGCTAGCATACTCGCGCTACTGTTGATGGCACCCAGGCTAGTAATAGTGAGCCCTTTGGGTGCTTTTAGACTGGAGCCAGACATTCAGAAAAAATGGTTTACGGAATGTCAGAGAACCTGGCTTTTTTAATGTTGGAAACTGGAATCAGTGCTGGCACCTGATGCTAAATCTGGTCTTCCCAATCAGTTTTAGCCATCCAGTGTAAGGAGAGTTGTGGTCCTCTGGACCTACGGTGTGGGACTTCCTGTTATAAGTGAATTCCAGTATGGAAGTAAATCTGTGTTGCTGGAATTTTAATTAAAAATGCCACTGAAATTTAAATGTAGTTTGTTTGTTCTTACTGTTTCAGTGTTAAAATATATTCAGTAAACATTTTGACCTAAAAAAATTCACTGTCATTATGTCTACACAGTTGAAA